CGGACTCCGTTTGGTCTCGGACAATCTGCCTTTGCCCGCAATGCTCTGCTGAGGCGAATCGCATGCTGGAGAACGCCAACGCTGTGCCGGTATTTGCGGCAACGTACAAGGGGAGCGTTCCTCTGGATACTGGCCGTCCGCAAGCTGACATTCAGTCTGACTTCTTCCGCTCACAGGAAGCGGCCGAACTTCATCTGCGGCTCCTTGCCATCGAGCAGGGCTTCAATCTCGTCGTGCAAAGACGGTACGAGTCCCGGCAGCAAAAGGACGGCAAATATATCCACAAGGTTTGGGGGGCTACCGGCCAGGCAGGCCAACGCTTAGACTGATACGGTAATCGTCATTAACTCTATACGGACGCGACCATTATTATGTGGAATGAAAATATGACGAAATTCAGAGCAAAATTTCTTTCCTCAGTCTCCGCCGAATTAGCATCTGCGCTTGCTCTTACTCTGCTAACGATCTCAGGCAGCGCTCATGCAGACAGAGTTCAAGGCTTTGATAGATTCAAGTTTGGAATGACTGTGGACGAAATCCGCACGGTTGGTCCAGGATGCCAGTCCATGCTCTGGAAGAGCCCTAATTCCATCTCCGCTTGGTGCAAGGGTATCCGCACTCCCTCCGGTGGGCCGGAATTCTTTCTGGACGCAAACTCAAAGCGACTGAATGGTATTCGGATCGATATTGCCGGACCAGCAACAGAAGGCGACGCAAGGGATTTGCTTAGTACGCTGAACAAAAAATATATAAAATCATATAACTTGAGCGAAAGCGACATACCTGCGTATTTTTCGGATCGCAGGTCAGACGTTATCCCCATTGGAGCCTGGCAGGATTATGGCGTTGTGCTATTTGCATATCGCTATGGACCGGCTAGGCAATATGTTGGTATTTATGCCATGTATTACTCTGACAGTGCGGCAGAACGGATTAAGCAGAGGCTAGCTCCCTTGATCCGTGAAAGGAGCGGTGGCGGCATTGATGCCTCAAAATATTAAATAAATAAATATGATGGCGAACAAAATTTTCCTTGTGCCGCCCACCAGGCTAAAATAAAAATATAGTCAAGAAATTATCAATAACTTGACATGTGCCTATCAAGAAAAAGGAGGAATGCACATGTTCAAAACACAAAATACGGTCCGGCTGGCTGTGGAGAGAGTCGGCGGACCTACCAAGGCTTCGAACGCCTGCGGCGTATCCAACGCCACCATCTTCAACTGGATAAACCGGCAGCACGTCCCCAATATCGACAAGGCCAAGCTCCTGGCGACGCTCGCAAGCGTTGATGTCAATGACCTGAGGGGGACCAGATAATGGCAACCCTCACACCCTCCCAGGAACACGCTCAGAAGAAGCGAGACATTGCTCAAGCCCAGCAAGAAATCCAGGCTGCTGTGCAACGAGCGTGGCCTTGCTTCTACGAGAAGCCGATGAAGAAAGAGGTCGGCTCAGGTAGTTGCCACAAGCTGAGTCACCTGCAGATCGGCATGGGAG